CAGCCCAACAACGTCGTACAATCCATTCCAACCGTTTAATTTGACCGAGACAGCATGTCAAATGCCGATATCGATCCAATGGAGGTGTCATTCCTGGTACCTCTGCGGTATCTCTGCACGCACCTCTCTAGGCTGTCTCTCGGTGCCAGCCCAAGCCCTGGTTGTTTACGTGCATTTTTCGAAGGATGGTTTTGACGAGACAAAAACAATTCAGGTGAGCTGCCAAACAATTTCACACAAACCATACCAAAGGATCCAATCCGACCTAGACCAACATGTAGGGCTGGCAAACGCAAACGTGACGGCTCTATCCATTCGTTTTCACTAGTGGCTAGCCTCCAGAACGTACTATATTTAGTGTCACTATTATATTTACTGAGATCCACCTTCCCCCCTTATATATATTAGAGAGGGCAGACTGTACCGTATGCATATAAACAATTTTTGAATAGAATCAATTTGGCTGACCACTTGTCTACTGTGCTGCTACTGGGTGCCCTAAACTGATAACATGGGGCAGAGAGATTTGACCCCACCAGCCAGGAAATATTAATAAAAGTCAACATATGAAGTTAAGGGACATGGGTCGCCTCGTGATTGACCCATCCTCGTTGCTGCCATCATCTACTAGCTCTGCTACAACCATTGTCAATTTTAACAGTGCCCGAATCCAAAACAATGTCAGACTCAAATGCATTCGCTAATTATCGTACCAATGTTTTCGTTGGAGCTGTCGTTGAGAGAACAGCTGCAAGTTATCTGTTTTTAAACAATGATTTCATTTAATTATTTGGCAATAAAAACTAATTAAAACTAATAAAGTAACAAGTTATACTATATATATACTCTCATTATATATATATATATATATATATATATATATATATATATATATATGTTTATATATATATATATCTATATATATATATATATATAAGGAGACCCCAAATACCCACTGGCTAAGTTGTCTAATTAAATTAATGAAATACATCATTTTGAGTATTCTTTTAAACGTTATGAAAAAACGTCGTGCAAAAATGTCGTGCTCGAAAGATTTGTTCCTTCATTCACGGATACCCGGGACTGGGGGGGGGACCTCGAGATTTAATAATTATAACAGCGACCAATAAATACAAGATTATAATTATTACAGCGGGCAGACTGTACGTGTTCCCTGTTTTCCTTGGTTGCAGGTTGAAAGATTCGATCATTGTTTAAGGTTAAAATTAATGAGGAGAAAGATCGGAAGCCCACATACATGAAAAACTTTCTGGTCTCGACAATGACGAAGTGGGACTCTCTGCTGCAGTACAGCCGTAGGAGGTACCAGTAGACAACGCTGTAAGGCACATAGTGTATCAAATTGGCAACAAACAGACCAATCAATTGATGGGCTGTTGCACGAGTTCTCCTCACGCTAAAAGACGCTACCTGGATCCTGCTGATTTGGTTGAAGAATTTGTAGACATTTTGCCGGATAATACTTCCACTGGCCCTCGCCTTCGAACCTTTGGACGATACCGTCCCAACCAAGTGTTCGTCCCAGATGATATTGATGGGTTGCCGTCTTCCAAATTGAACCACAAACTGGCTACAAGCCCCAACACTGTCCTATACACAGCCGAGATTGACAATGGCAAGTCATGGGATTTTTTGCGCCCCTGTTTGTTGATTATCCCCTTGTGGCCATGGGTGGCGCTTCAATGGTGGCTGGCCAATGGTTGTGAGATTCACTGCGATTTAATTTGCTGTTGGGTTCGCAAGGAATACTCCACTCGCACCTACTACCGAGTCTATGCCAACCGGATTGAAGTGAATGATCCCCGAGTCAGGTTCCCGTTTGGAGTGTTGGGCTGTGGCTCCTGGACCGCCGATCATGTGTTGAGTCATCCCTTTGATCGAGGAGCCTTTGGATTTCACAGAGTACGATTTGGCGTGCCATCGTTGCTCTGTTGTGTTTATCCAACCTCTGGCGATGTGGTAGCACGACAACGGTGCCAATGCAATGGACCCTTCTGGTACAGCTGTGATGGGTGGTGGTGTGATGAATGGCTTTGCGACATGATGTGTTGCACCTTTCGGTATAATGGTTTGGCTGATGGAGATGAAACCGCCTTTGCCTCCAATTTGGCCTTGCAAGCCTACTATGAAGGACGACACATTACACCAACCCAAATGGAACAATGCCTCGACTATTGGCGAAATCACATTTCCGAAATGGGGGATCCCATCCACCGCCAACGACCGGTGCTATGTGAAGAGAGTGGCTGTTCCATGCGATCTTGTATACCCACGGGTAAAATCTACCAGCGGATTTGTCAATGTGAACGTCGCGTACCCGAACACTTTGAAAGGACTCCCGAGATTGTCGAGGTATACGACAAGTATGAAACCTTGCGAAGACGACAAACAGATCGGTATCTGACATTCAAAGAGCCGGTATATCACTCGACCGTTTGCCGATCCCTGGGCTGTCGTCGATGTTTTGGTCGAAAGGGCGTAATTTTTTGCACAGAGGGGTGTTGTTGCGAGAACAAGGACCATACCATGGGTCGTTGTTACAAGCACTTGCCAAAAGATCAAGTCGATGATCCTTTTGCTCCCTACATTCATACAGATTGGGATGATGACAATAGTGCTGCCAAGGTATTACAAATTGTACTAGGGAATCCACCTCGAAATGTGGTTTACAGGAAGTGGCAATTTGATCCTGATACCAAGCAATATACAGTGGTAGAATCACCCACAATCACCAACAACGAAACAGTTTCTACACCTAAAACAGCCAGCAATGGACATTGTCATCATGATGAAAGCAAGGAACATCCAGGCGAGGTTGCAGTACTATCCAATCATCATCATCAGCAGCAGCAGATTGTATCTCCAGATGGCTACGAAGTCTTTGCAGATGAATCGCTGGCGATGAACAACTCAGATGGATCATTACGTGACCATTCGAGCCGCACGCCACATATAGTAGCAACTCCTCCAGGTAGAGCCTGTACGATACTAACTGGCGAGTTTTGACAGGGGCCATCGTACTCTTCCACTGTGTGTGAACTACAGTACTGTAGTAGCTAGCTAGCACAGACTGCATGATAACAAAAATTAGTTGCTGCATTAGCTCAAGTAGCCTGAACCTGACGAGATGGAGCCGATTTGCTGAAATTGTGTTGATAATCCAACGAATGCTTGCATGAGCTCGCCCTTGGACTCTTTCATTTTCAGTTTGCAATGACAAGAAAAATTGAAAGCAAAAGCAGAAAGGAAAAAGACTGCATCATACGTACAATGTATGTACGGTATCCATCCATGCTTCATAAAAACTCATTTTCTTGAGGCAGCCGGTCACGTGCGAGAGATTGGAGGAGTTGGCAGCAGCGAATGATGAATCCCTTGAAATTTCGTGATTCAATCTGCGACTGAAGAGATGCGTGGTGCGTCATGGATTAGCTCATAACCTTGGCGACCGCCACGGCTCTCCGCAGCATTAGCAGTTTCACTTTTCCTCTTGGTTGTAAACCAAAAGAGTAGATAACCCAAAGTCTAATGCAAAATGGTGAGTTTTGGCCCAGAGGATGGTTGTTGCTATCGATATCGATGGCATGATGAGTGTTGTTAGAGGAATGTTGTTGTTGGCTTGTTGTGGTTGTTGTTGGAGGAGACGATGGCAGCTCGAAGCGTGTTTCTATTGCGTGTGACTATTCTCAATCGTGCGTGGAACGAACCAAGGACGGCCCAAACGTTTCCTGCAAGGAGAGCTGCAGGAAGCAGTCACAAAAATAAATGACAACACAGTAACCAACAATTACAACAACAACAACACTAACCAACTACAACAACAACTCGCTCACACAATGCCTCCTTTTGATGACTCACCCTCCACTTCTGCGCCTCCTTCCTGTGGTCCAACTTCAGGTAGCAAATATGTGCCACCGCATCTGAGAAATTCCTCTCGGAACAGTGGTGGCGACGCTCCCTCGAGCAACAATTACGGCGGTGGCGGAGGCCGCGGTGGAGGCGGCTACGGTGGTCGTGGCGGCGGTGGTGGCTACAACAACAACCGTCGAGCTTCCTACAATGACAACCGCGGAGGTGGTGGCGGTGGTGGCTATGGAGACCAACGTCGATCCAGCTACAACGACGGAGACCAAAATGGCGGACCACCCCCACAGACGAACAGCCGTTGGGCCAACGTCGACGGTGGCGGCGGTGGAGGATATGATGGCGGAGGCGGTAAGTCAGGAACAACCAATGCATGGTTGGCCAAGTTGTAATTTCTCATTATATTTTGGGATTGGAATTGTTTTCATCACAGGCCACCGTGGCTCTTACCAAGGAGGCGGAGGATATGGTGGTAAGTCCGTCCATTTTGTCTGTCTTCTGTATAAGAAACTAGATTTGGATCAATCTGACTGATTCACTTCATGGCTTGATTCGATGATTTTCAGGAGGCCGTGGCGGCGGCGGTCGACGAAATGAACGTGGATTTCACGGCGATATGAAGGAAGATCCCCGTGTCGAAAAGCAACTGTTCGGACGTGACGACCATCAAACCACGGGCATCAACTTTGACAATTACGACAAAATTCCCATTGAAGTTTCTGGAGAAAACGCCCCTGATCCCATTGACACTTACTCGGTCGAAACCATTGGAGAGGAACTCTACAAAAACACCCAGTTGTGTGGATACACCAGACCAACGCCCGTCCAAAAGTACTCGGTTCCCATTGGAACACTTGGACGCGATCTCATGGCTTGTGCCCAGACGGGATCTGGAAAGACGGCCGGGTTCTTGTTCCCCATCATCATGTCCATGTTGAAGAATGGCGGACGGGATCCTCCCGACAGTGCGCGTCGTCGCTCGTACCCCGAAGCTCTGGTCTTGGCACCAACCCGTGAGTTGGCACAGCAGATCCAAGAAGAGGCCAAACGCTTTTGCTATGCCACTGGCATTGCCTCGGTCGTCATTTATGGCGGGGCTGAAGTCCGTGAACAACTCCGCCAAATTGAGCGTGGATGTGACTTGTTGGTAGCCACTCCCGGACGCTTGGTCGATCTCATGGAACGTGGACGTCTCGGAATGGAGAATATTCGCTTTATGGTGTTGGATGAAGCCGATCGAATGTTGGATATGGGATTCGAGCCTCAAATCCGTAGGATTGTCGAGGAAGCAGGAATGCCCCAGGGTGCCGAACGTCAGACAATGATGTTCAGTGCCACCTTCCCGTCCAATATTCAGCGTCTTGCCAGTGACTTTATGCGGGATTATGTGTTCTTGACGGTCGGACGTGTCGGTTCGGCGTCAAAGGATGTCACCCAAACCATTGAATATGTGGAAGAGCAAGACAAGCTAGAGACGCTCATGCGGTTCTTGCTGACCATCGAAGAAGGACTCATCCTCATTTTTGTCGAAACCAAGCGTTCCTGTGACTATGTGGAAGATATTCTCTGTCAGCGTGGATTCCCCGCTTGTTCGATTCATGGAGACAAGAGCCAGAGAGAACGTGAAGAGGCGCTTCGTGCCTTCAAGAGAGCTGTTACCCCCGTCATGGTGGCGACGGATGTCGCCAGTCGCGGTCTCGACATTCCCAATGTGACTCAGGTAAGAAAGAAAATTGGACCATTAATTTTGGTTTATTTGAACGTTTTCTCATAATTCTTTTCCCGGCTGTTTGCGACCAGGTCGTTAACTATGATTTGCCAACCAATATTGACGACTACGTGCATCGAATCGGTCGTACAGGCCGTGCGGGTAACACAGGTTCTGCCTTGGCATTTGTGAACGAGAAGAATAGTGGTATTATTAGAGAGCTCCGTGAGCTACTGGAGGAGAATGAACAAGAATCCCCCCCTTGGCTCAATCAAATGTAAGTTGGATGACATGTGTTGGGCTTGAGGCTGTTCGTTCGTCCAGACTTATCCTTGTTGGCATTTGTTCTCCGTAGGTGTTCCTTTTCTGGTGGTCGCAGCTCTGGCCGTGGCGGTCGAGGCCGAAACTCTGGAAGTAACTTTGGATCCAGAGATGTCCGATATTCTAACCGCGGAGGAAACCAAGGAGGCGGCGGCGGTCGAGGAGGTGGAGGCGGCTTTGGTGGCGGTGGCTACGGAGGAGGGTAAGCGTGGTCACCTCGTTGTTTTAGTGATTGATCCTTTTCTTGAAGGCTCACCTTGTTGCTCTCGACATTGCAGTGGCTACGGCGGAGGAGGCGGCTTTGGTGGCGGAGGCTACGGCGGCGGTGGAGGGTAAGTTGTCTGGTTTGCGTTTTGTCATAATTCCACGCGGTTCCTGGCGCTCACCTTCATGCTACTTTTCTTTACCTCAGTGGCTATGGTGGTGGTGGCGGCGGCGGCACTTTTGGAGGTGGTGCATGGTAGACATCCTTTACGAAATCAAATCTTCCGCATTTGCAATCCATGGAAACGACAATCTGCCCACCAATGCTCCGATGTTACCACAAGAAAATATTCCCCTTTCAGTTGATGGTGGCCTGATCCCCCTCTCTTTCGAGAGCTACTAAAACTAGTCTATTATTGTGACTTTGTGAAGTTCAATTTCCCTCTTCTTCTCGTAAAATTGAGCAACTGCACCAGCTCGGCTAAACTGTTCTTGTAAAACGTTTCATTTTCTCCTTGTCGATCCCATTGTTTTGTAATGTGAAATGCATCCTCAAGGCGCTCAAAATTGTTCAACTGCACCAGCTCGGATAAATTGTTCTGTGGAACGATTAACACAACAATGAATCAGTCCGAGCGAGTACGCTTTGCCTGGTAACGCAAGATGATTTCACCGAACGTATTCTAAAGAGGCGCCCCTGGCCGCTTTCTTCGTTTCCTTTTGGGGTCGCTCCCAAACGGTTTCGAGTTCGTTTCCTTTTGTCCCGCGGCTCTCGGCTGAAAACCTGCTCGTGGGTTTCTTCCAGCCACTCTCAATCGAATCCAACTAGTAAACTACAGCGTACTGCAGCTTGGAGGGATTGCTCCTAACTGGTGCTGTGCCAAAGCTTTTCATTCAACAGAAGTTATGATTGTATGGCTTAGCTATCGGTAGTTGCGAATTGAACCCAGCGATCGACGTGTTGCGCTACATCGACAGGCTCAACTTGGTAACTTTACCAACAGGTTGGAGGGAGTCAACAATGCCTGATATTCCCTTTGACATGCTACTAGCAAGCCTGCGGCAGCTCTGATCGGGATCTAGCTGCGACATCTGCTTCAATCCCTCTGGAAGACTACTGAACGGACCATCAAACATCATGGTCAAAACCACGTCTTCGGGAAGACATGACAGCGATGCTGCAATCGCAACCAGTACCGCCATGCGCACTTCGGCTACATCAACTGTTCGGAATGACCAAACCAGCTCGAACATATCCTTGGCCAACACATCAGTTCCGGGTGCAACTCCCGCACATTCAACGATAGTTGCGAGAGTAACAAACAAGTTTGCGAGCAACCTTGCACCCACTGCGCCTCCCCAGAGTGCCGCGTTGTCTTTCCGCTGCAGGAAACCGCCAACGAGGGAATAGTACCAAACATGAGCAACAGGGCCGAACCGACTCCGCAAGGCATGGGTTTCAGGCTGTCTCCTGCCACGTCCCCATCGACGGGTCTTTGATTCTACTTGCCCAAGAGCACGCTCTGCGTGCACCGAGACAATGCTTCCCATATCCTCTCCGGTCATTGTTGAGTTGTCTTTGTTGCTCACAAGACTGTAGTTCTCCTTCACATAGGCGCGTTTTCCGTGACTATTGCCGTCATCATTCCTTCTGAAAGTTGTTGGTTTTGGTAAGAACCTCGAAGAGAAAACACTAGTCTTCAGATGCGGAGAGCGAGAGACGTACCTATTATTTGCCATTTTCTTGTTCCATTGCTCGAGCTTCTTGTTTCCCGAAAGCTCAAATGCAGCCTCGCTCAGAATTGTCAGTCCGTCCAATCGGTCCATAAACGCAATGTCTTCCCACAACAAAAGGATCAACCGCTGCCCCACTGCAAGCGGTTCTGCGACTGTTAAGGCGATCACAGCAATGAGCCTATCATCTTCAAAGCTATCGAGATTGTACTTGTTTTCCAAACGCATCAATTCCAGAGCCAGAGGGACAGCAAGGTCTGGTAAATCAGCAGGTTTCTCCTTCGCTTTGATCAAACGAGGAAGGTATGTTAGAGCTGCTTCGTGTTTGCTGTATGCTTCCTTGTCGCTATCTGGAGCTCGCAAGAGTTCCAAGCAGTCTCGTAGATACCGAGGCTGTGGCGTCTCTCTCAAATCTTCTTCGTCGTCTTCCACATCATATGTATCGAGATGTCGTTGCTCGGACTCGTCCCATTCCGAGTCATCGTCGTCGTAGTCATCGGTGTACGAAACGTCGTCTGTGTATTCTTCTTCGTCATCCGTTGACCTGCTTTCATCCTCCTCATCATAATAGTCGTCATCATCCTCAAAGGTACCGTCGTAGTTTACATCATCTTCTTCTTCCTCGTCGTCTTCACTTACGTATGCCGCATCAGGATCTACAATGAGCACTCTCTTGTCGGGTGATTTCGACGTTCTTCCGTCGAAAATGATTGGCGAACGGTGCTTGTGGGGATCCTCTTTGTTGCGTCTGTTCTGCTGCTTTCGTTTGATGTGTTCGAAAGCCTTGGAATATGCCTGTTTCGGTTGTCGAGTTGCTCGCTGGCTTGCTTCGGGTGCTTCCTGTTCACCATTCAACGCAAGCGAGAAACCAGTCGAGGTCGAAGAGTATATCGATAGTGATGGCGCCGAACTTTCAGATGGCAAGGATTCCTGTTCGTACGCAGCTGCCAATATTCGAGCATCAATTTCTGCAGGGTCGACGGATGGATGAGATCTGGTCCTGACGCTGGTTGCAAAAGAGTCCTTATGGTTGTTTGTAGCCGAGGAAGAGAGCGAGGACTGTTTGTGCGGGTTGACGCCCTTTCGGGGTTTGGGTGCCTGTTGCTGATAACCGAATCTAGATCTTGGCGAAAGAGGAGGTTTCCCGGTCGCAAGTTGCTTTTCCTTGAATCTCTTATGCTCCATTGCAAAAAGAGAGTCGTCCTCGATGGTTTCCTTCTTATCCACACCCCACTTATTGTTGCTGTCGCTACTGTCAGGTTCCATCGCCTCTTTCGTTTCTTTGTTGCCGTCCTGTTCCTCCTCCTCGACCATGGCAAAGATCAAGGATGGAACACCACTCGCTTTCTCACTGCTGGAAGAAGGCATCTCAGGGGGGTCATTGCGCCGGGGGTTTGCTGGGGGTCGGGCCATGTTATCATTTCCGGGGCTCTTCCTGGGACTGCCAGAATGGGGACCAAGGGTAGTTGGTAGTGGCGACAACGCAGAATGCTTTGGCGGGTCTTTCTCGAGAACCATCTCAACTTCTTGCTGGGTCCAACAAGCCGCAACGCCTTCATCGTCGTCATCGTTGTCTTCACGATCGTCGACAGTTGTCACCACAATAGGAGTCTGTGGTCTACCCCTCTGTTCATCCCGACGGCGACGTGGGGTTGACGGGTACTGTTCCGGGGGGTCGCGGCTTATTAAGCTCTGTGTGGCACTGTCTTTGAAAGAAGGTGTAGGCGATGAGGCGATCCTCATGGTGATTTGCTCTTCTCGTTCTTTCTCCTTCTCTTTCATCCGCTGCTCGTGTTGGCGTTGCCTCTGCAAACGCTCCTGCACCTCTTCCTGTTGCTTATAGTGCTTTTGGCGACGCTGATTCTTCAATTGGTTCTGCCAATACATCTCTTGCCGGACTTCCTCCGGTGCAGGAATGACATAGTCAGTTCTGTCGAGAGTGTGGTCCCATGAGACATGCTTGGTAATGCCCCCATTATAGCTTGTTCTATGCGTGTCAACATCATCCCCTTGACCATGGTAGGTATGCTTTATCGACGGATGGAGTTCTTGTCGTCGGTCATGCAACATGATGGGCTGTTCCGACGTTGCATATGTTTCGTCTGCACCACCGTGGTAATCCTGCTGCGAAGGGAACGAAGGATCTTCCTCATGACTGAAACGATGAACAGCTGCGTTGCTGTGCCGAGGGGTGTATCCTTGTGCCTGCATTTCCATTGCATGCGGTTGGTGATCATCATACTGATATTGAATCTGCTCGTCGTATTGGAAATCATGCCGTGGTTGATACTCGATTGGAGGTAGTTGCATCCCCATGTGGACTTGTGGCTGATGCTGCTCTTCTGGGTGATATTGTTCTTGCTCTTGCTGTTGATTGTGAAACTCAAGCTGTTGGTGGAGGTTACCAGCTGGTTGTTGCTGTGGCGGCACTGGCTGCATCATTGGTGTCTGTAATTGCACTTGCTGCGGTGTGCCGTGGTACTGCTGGACGGCTTGACTGTGCTGGGGTGGGAGCTGGATCTGCTGCTGTTGCTGCAAAAAGTGCTGTTGATCGTGAAAGTAGGCAGCGGTCTGTTCGGGTGGTTGTTGGTGCTGCGGCTGCCGAGGAGGTCCCACATGTGCCATGACAGAATCATTCACTTGGTTGTCTTCTTGCTGCATCGTTGAGTTGTCATAACTATCATACTTGGATTGCTGTTGTCGCTGTTGCTGTTGGACTTGCTGAGGTTGCATCTGTTCTTCCTCGTGGTGTGTAGTTTGTCGGGGAGACGGAGAGTGCCGTCGTCTTTTGTCTTTGAGAGCGGACTTGGGGGGAGTCTTGGCTCCCTGATTTTGACGATGTCTGGTGGGGCTCTGGTGTCTGGTGGGGCTGTGATGTCTGGTGGGGCTGTTGTGTTTGGATTGGAGGAGGTTTGGAAGCTGAAAGCTTGCGGTACCAGCTTGAGGAGGAGTACGAGGAGAACGAATCGGTTCATGTTGTTCGGCATGTTGCTCCGCGGTACTTTCGTCTGGTTGATATTGGGTGGAGTCCTCATAGGAATCGCGCGGATTCCTCCGGTTCCCTCGTTTCGAGTTTGGCGACTTGACGTTCCCATACACCGCATCGAGAATCCGAGTATCACTTTTCCCCTCCCGTTTTGCCTTTCGTCGTTTCCGGCGCTCTTCCTTTTCCTTCTTTTTGGCGCTCTTCTTGTTGGACTTTCGTTGCTGATGTTGAGATTGAGGTTGTTCACGTCTCTTCTCGTGCTGCGCAGCTTTTTCTTCTTCCATTCTCTGCTGCAACAGTTGTGATGCCTTTTGCTTTTGCTTTTTCCGACCAACAGCAGTGGTGCAATAGTGAGACGGGAATTCCGAGGCCGTCATGACCGACTGCAAAAATGTCACTTCATCATCGTCCATCAACGATCGTTCCTGATCCAGTTCATCAAATTGCAATTCCTGTCCCATTTTTTGTGCCAATCGTTCGGCAATCATCATTCCATCTTTGCGAATGGCTGGTATGGATGATTCCAACCGTACCGTGACACCTTCGAGGAGTCCTGCCACCAATTCGGACATGTGCGGCGCGTTTTTATGATTATTATTGTGGTGGCTGGTGGAATTGTTGTTGGTATCATCTTGTTGGAGTTGCAAAAAGCACATGCCACTCAACAAAAAGTTGGTCACGTGTCGTTGCAATCGATGATCGGTTTGTCGTACAAAGACTGCCAGCGACCATGTCGCAATGACTTCTTGGACATGCTTGGCCAACCAGGCATGATGTTGCAATGCTCCCTCTATCGAGTCCTCACTGTCGGAATCCAGGTCCTCTTCGCCGCTACTACTGTCCTCACTACTACTACTATCCTCTTCACTACTGCTCGTCGTGCTACTGCCTTCCGAATCGGCCGTGGACCGTGTCTTGTCACTTTTCTTTTTGGTGAGCAGTGGAGCGGGATTGGCCAATAGCGACGCGACACAATGACAGAGCAATCGATCGGGCCATTCTTCATTGAGCACCGAACTGGGCGACAACACGAGTAGTCGTACAAATGCTTCTCGAACCCGTCGCGACGCCACTAGAATGGGTCGACAGGACAGCTCCATGTACGGGTACAAGTGTCGTTGCCATAGTTCGGTCAATTGTGTAGTGGCAATCTTGGTGGCATGGGATTGTCTTGGAATGCTGGAAATGGTGACACTGCGCAGCAATTGAGCGGATTCTCGTGGCGAGAGTGTCTGTCGATGCAGTTGGAGTAGCAAATGACAGAGTGCCTTGGGTTGTTGGTGCTGTGTACTACTGGTACTGTTGGTGGAATCGTGAGAACGGTAGTGTCGTTCGTGGTACTTGTAGAGTCCCAAAGCGACGTCGTCGGGATTGCGACTGCGGACCATGTGTTGTACGAGTAGTTTGAAATAGGATGCCGAATAGGAAGATCCTTCAATTTCTTGTTGATAGAGTGCCATACTAATGGCTCCTTCAATGAGGCGTGGATTGTACCGCGAGCCAATGGCCCAAGTAGGTAACTGTACTGCCAATGCATGACAGGCATTGGATATTTGTACGGGAAACAGGAGCACCAATTTGGTCAATGATTCCAGACACGCTTGAATGATGGGTGATAGATACTCCTGGTTCCTAGCACTCTGTGCATTCTGTTGCTGCTGATTGTAGTTGTAGTTGTAGTGCTGATTGTTGGTGTTATAGCGTGACAAGTGACTGGAGAGCGTGAGGGTGACCTGTTCTACCCAACATCGTTCTTCGTATCCATTGGTGGTATCATAGTCGGGTGGGAAACTGACACCCTTGACGAGCCAGCGTCGAATGGTTCTCAGTGCGGTTTCCAAAATGGAGGGCGATTCTACAGACGAGGCTGCCCGTTTCTTCTTTTTGGACGACTTTTGGTTGTACTTTTGAGCAATTTCTTGCAGCGTCGTGGCACATGCCGAGAGAGCTTCCAGAGGTCCACATGCCACGAGACAGGCATCGAGTGCTTCCTGTTCTTGGGCTCCCATGACAATGACTTCTTGCAGCAATCGGAGAGCGACTTGTTCTCGAATGGTGGACTCTTCCTGCGGAAATGTGGGCGATTTGGGCAGTTGCTGCAGCGCGCCAATCAAGTGTTCCTGGCAGGTTGCCGTGTGGAAGGGACGCATGTAATCATTGACACGTTTTTCCAGAGAATGCGTCGGAGCCATCAACTGGATGCTGCTAGTGTTGGAGATCATCTTGTTATACTGTACGTAAATTGGTGTGATCAATCAATACCAAATTGGAAGGGTCAAAGATGGTAATCTGCTGCTGCAAATTTGGTTTTGGGCCAGCAGCCGCCGATCTGAGAAAAACAGATCCACCTGGCCCTTCCAAACAACCAGCTTTTCCTCCTGGTCTATCTCTTGACTCCTTTTGCAATCTCAGTCTAGCTAGTGGGTGGGTGGATGTATTGTCTTTTCTTGTTCTCTTTTGCATTGCTCAACAGCCATTGACCGCCATTGTCAACCCAAAATCGAGACAGGATGAGACAAGAAGCGTTGCTGCCGCTGGGTCGGAAACAGTGGTAGGTTCATCCTAACGGTTGGACCCGCATTTTTCGGTAATTAGGAGGCTCGCTCAAATTTTAGGTTCAGATCGTCTTCGAGTCCCGTATTTGAGTCCCGAACTCGAGGAAGATCTTTTCGATTTCTCTTTTGAAGATTTTTTGATGGATGTTATTGCGACCATGTTGCTGATTATTTATTTTGGCAGACAGAAGACCATGTGGAGAGCTCGTGGCTTTAGTAAGAAGCTGGCCAACGGACCAGGCATCAGGCAACCATCCAACAGAAAAAGACAAAGGATACCTTCCATTGGTGATGGGAGTCCACCGAGATCAAATGGGGCACTAGTATCTTCACATCCGTGTCTCCCTGATCTATATAACCACACAAGCAGACGACACTGCTATTATTATTCTGCAAGTAGCAGTAGTAGCAATAGCAGCACTACCCTTCGACGTATCCGAGAGCAGGAAGGCTTGTCAATTCCACAAGATACCATTCCAGCTACCCCGGCGAGTAATAAGCAATACAACAACATCACCCATCCAAATAATAAGAAACGGCTGCAAGAACACAGTCGACGAAACAATCGAGACTTCCGACACACACAAGAATTGCTAAAGGCCGCGCAACAACGTCTACAAGAATTGAAAACCGTGCCCAGTTGGAATCCGCAAGATTGGAGAGATGCACAACAGGTCATGGAATTTTGGTTGGCCACTTCCAACAAGGGCCAACAACAACAACAACAACAAAAGTTTCATTTGTCCCTGGAAGAACACGCCAACACGGTACAGAATGCATTAGAGTTGTTGGAGAGAATGATCCAGGAACAAATGGCTATTACACAGCAATCTACTTCACAACAACAACAAGAACATCAACAAGACAATCCATGTGGCAGCCTTGCCAAGGTGATTCTCACACGAACCAAATGGCTCGACAAAATCACCCGCCATTGGCAACAGTTGGAAAAGAGAACAGCACAGCAGCAACAACAGCAACAACTACCACCACAAAACACGTTCCACGAGGACTTTCTACAAAAGTTAGAGGCATTGGTGGATGATCCATCCAATAGCAATGGAATCCTGCACATGAATCCCCGCATCTACGCCATGGTTATGGATGTGGCCGCTAGACAAACGGTACGAATGGCATCGTCTTCCACCAAACACAGTCAGGAATATCATGCTGGAGGATACATGGCCGTGTTACCAACTCCCGAACTGATTGCCAAGGTAGATTACTTGGAATCCATCTTGTGGAAACAAATGCCACAACGAAACATTCTTCCCGATACAGTCAACTACGCGACCGTGTTACAAACATGGGAGTATATTGGGGAGGGGACTCGAGCACAGAACTGTTTGCAGAAAATTTGTAACTTGTACGAAAACAGTCAAAATAGTAATGACGACAACAACAACAAAATGGCGCATACACCACCCAATCGAGAGTGTTTTCAACACGTGCTAAACGCCTTTGCCAGAGGCCCCAAATCGCCACAAACCGTGGACCAATGCCGTCAAGTGATGGCTCAAATGCAAGACTATCATTCCACTCGTGGACTCGACACGGCACCCACGGTACGAACCTACAATACGCTACTCACGTGCCTCTTGCACAATCCATTCGTGGAGGAGCCCATTGCACAAGCGGAACGACTCTTTCGACAAGAAATGCCCGTGGAACTCCGGGACAAGCAAACCTACAATATTCTGCTGGAAATGTACTCGAAACGTGGAATGGCCGACGAGGCATCGGCGTTGCTGCAGAAAATGTACGAACTATATCAAGAGACACAAGAGGAACGAGTAGCACCGTACACCAAATCGTTCAACTTGGTACTTTCGGCACTCAACAAGGCGCGGAATTACGCCGGCGTCGAAGAACAATTCCAGTTGATGGAACAGCTGCATGCTGATGGGGCATTGCCCAACAATGTTGCACCGGATCAATTCACTTATTCCATTCTCTTGGAGAGTTGGGCGCAACAAGTCGGCAAGGTGCCAAATGCCACGGAACGATGCGACAACATTTTGTATACCATGAAACGATTATCGAGCAACGCAGGAAACACCGTTCGTCCCACAACGGTCACGTATTCCATTGTCATGAAGGCACACGCCAAGGTTGGAAACGCTAGACGGGTGGAAGAATTGCTGGGGGAAATGATGGATGAATACATGCAACGCAAAAATCCAGATGTTCGCCCGATTTGTTGGCTTCAACACGGTTCTGTTGGCGCTTTCGAAATCCGGACAGCATGATGCGGTCGACAGAATACGTTTGGTGATACAGCGAATGGAGGAGATTTCGGACAAGGGTCTTTTGGGGCGAAACTTTCGCGTGCACCCAAACGTGAGAAGTACAATGCCTCCTACAAGCCATCTCCAAGTCGGGGCGTCAGGGAGCAGGAGAAGAGTGTGAAAGACTTTTGATGGAAACTATGCAGCCAAATCCACGATTGACGCCAAACATTGTCTCCTATTCCTGCACAGTCCAGGCATATGGAGCTGCTGGTAAAGCAGAACATGCTGAAAAGGTCCTGGAAAGCGTTTGCGACCGCTACTACCAGCAAGATACAAAGTTGAAGGACGATGGAGGCATTCAGAGCTTGAGACCGACTGTGCAGCTCTTCTCTACTGTAATGGCAGCATGGGCGAAGCGCGGGGCCCCGGAAAAGGCTGGAGAATTGCTTGAACGTATGCACGCACTGTCTTTGGCCGGAGATTTGTCAGGATCCATTGACACTACTGTGTACAACGTCGTCATGAATTCCTGGGCAAAGTCTGGTAGAAGCGATGCGGGGGCAAAATGTTTGGAGATATTGGAAGAGATGGAGCAAAGTGGCGGTACTGCTGCCCCAGACAGCATCTCTTACAACACTTCGCTAAATGCATTGGCAAATCTTGGAGACGGAGTGGGTTGTGAAGAGCTGGCAAAACGAATGAAAGACGCACCAGGAGTCACTCCTGGTTTCGACACTCTTTCAACTCTCCTCAAGGCGTGGACCAACTCGCCAACAGTCAAAACAAATAGTGAAAGAGTCGAGCTATTGCTACAAAAACTTGAGGAGCTCCAAGAACTGACTGGAGTTGCTGCAAATGTAGCTAGCTACAACGTCGTCCTGAACTGCCTGGCAAGGTCAAAAGATCCAGTCTCTTCCCAAGTGGCCGAAGATTTGCTCTTTGAGATGGAGCGGTTGTCATCCAATGAGCCTGATCGAGTGGCGCCGAAGGGTGCCAGTGTCAGACCAGACTTGATCTCGTACACTACTGTGATGCATGCATATGCGAATACTGGCAATGCTGAGAAATCCGAAGAGATCTTGGAACGCTTGATTGAAGAATACGTGAGGAGAGGGCACAAGAGAAAAGGTCTGCAACCAACAACCCGAGCATTTAACAGCGTGCTACGGGCCTGGGCACAATACGCTAGGCAAAACTCCACTCCTGATGCTCCAGCTCGGGCTGAAGCTCTATTGGAAAGGATGCGTCGTCTTCACAACACATCTGGAGCCCCGGTTAAGCCCGACGAAAGAAGCTACAACCATTTGCTGGATTGTTGGGGCAACTCCGGCTTGCAAGGTTCTGCTGCCCGGGCCCTTTCCATTTTAGGAGACATGCGGGCTTCTGGAGATAGCGACATCGCGCCCACTACTGTGTCCTACAATACTGTCATTGCAGCCTTTTCGAGATCTGGAGACTACGAGAAAGCAGAGTCTCTATTGGAAGAGATGAATCGTCAAAGCCAAGCTATGGGGGAAACGTCTGTAGTGAAGCCAAATCTGATCTCGTGGAATTCTCTGTTAGCGGCATACTCCAAGTCTCGTCATTCTGCTGCTTTAGGGAAAGCAGAGAGAGCGATTGCGAGGATGGGGGAGCTGTTTGAAGCTGGGCAATTGGATGCAAAGCCCAACGTTTTGAGTTTCAACTGTTTGATGCAGTGCCTTGCGTCGTCTGCACAGCCCTCCAACGATGCATCCGAGCGATGTGAAAGAATCTTCAGAGAAATGCAGTCGAGAAGCCATGCCGCTGAAGATACGTTGACACCTAACTCGCACAGCTTTGTTGCTGTCATCACAGCTTGGCTGAAGCATGGCGACGCCGACCGTGCAACATCTTTGGTTTTAGAACTCTGCGACAACGAAGAGGTGGAGCCAGACATCAAGACCTTTCGTTTTCTCCTGAAGAGCCTTCCCTCGTCGGCTGCGACCATTAGGCGACGCATGGAAGAATTGTACCCACAGCAAGGGGATCCGGATGTTGGGGACGAATCGAACGCATGCTCTTGATATTGGCACAATGAGTCGAGTCCTTGCTGATTGATTCGAAGTTTTGGACGCAGTGATGCGTCGGACTAGTAGAACCCACGACGAAGCAACTCTATGCTCGAAGGCTCATGAGCTACTCCATGCTTGTTTGCTCACTTCCTTCGGAGAAGAACACTAGTAGTTTGAATATCGCAGAAAAAAGCTGCTAGCTTATTGTTCCGCAGGGTCGAAGCGCTTTCTACTTCCAGTGTACCGTACCGTTTGCGCCTGTTTGCCTACACAGCTAACAGAGTTTAGTAGCCAACTGAGTTAAGAGGCATACTGGCTTACACGCTTCGTCCAGCCCGAGAGGAATCCATTGGTGCCATCGGGACCCTTGTAGTGCAAATCGTGGATAAAGACGCAAAAATCCAAATGAGCGCAGAAAACAGGGCAGAGAATTCAGCGACAGCCTGTTCGTTTCTTACCTTCGCCATC